GTAAACGATCTACCTTTGCATCGAGTATAATGAATGAATCGTGAATGAAATGAGAATTATAATGAAAATGTTGAAATAATTGAATTAGATTATGAATAGATAGAATGAATAATAGAAGACTGGAGAAAATAATAATTAATAATTAAAAAAATAGAGCAAAAAGCGAACTCCTTAGTTTCTAAATTCTGAAACTTCTAATATTGAAACGAAGGACTGTCTTCTTTAATAGAAATGCGCATAGAACCTGAAGACTTTAGTTCTACATTTTCAAACGTCAAACATAATCAGATTTACGTTTAAATCATCGTACGACGATGACACGCGTGATTCCATAAAAAGCAAGTGTATTTAAGTGAGAAACCGAGGAAGAGACGTGACGCTCACCAGTTAGGGTGAAATCGAATACAGGGTGTACCAGAAAAAATGTTAGAGTCGAAGAGAGGTGATTCTGTAATTGTTTCTGAACCACAATTTCCTTTGGTAAAATGCAAAGTGAGGCATGATTTTTAAATTATTAACGAAAAACACTGACCAATGAGGGCGTTATGCCAGCGTTATGAGCTTCACGATTCGAACGAACCTATCCATGGTTGGACGTGGGCCCTACGTGTGTCATTGGTCGATGTCAAAAAATCAATAATTAAAAAACCATTCCTGACTTTGCATTTTGCCAAAGGAAATTGTTGTTCAGAAATACCTCTAGTATTACCACTTTTTGGCTCTAACATTTTTTCTGGGACACCCCGTATAGGAGAGCAGTAAATTCAAATCGCGGTAGATAAACCTAAACTTTTATCTCCTCCGTGATTCCTCGACTCTTTTTACGACACAGACGAATCGCGCGAAGTTAAGATTGATTCGTGACCATGTAAAGCTAGTACATATATCTTTTCGGGCAGCTGCCTCGTTACCATAACGAGCATTATGCCCATTACCAACTAACGCATCTAGAATTCCGCGAATCATGAAATCCTGCTAATTTATATTGATTCGTACATTTAGTACCATCCTCGTTATACGATTATAGGATCCGGCGTTGCGTTATCTCGCATAAGCATGAAATATTCCACCTACGCTCCGTGAGCCACTGTTTAATCTCTTCAAGTTATATCGCGCCTTGATCTTTCCATATCTATTCGTCAAACTTTTTAATCCGTCCAACTTTTATCTTATTCCGATCGACCCACGCGTATCCATCAAACTTTTTAATCTCCACGGAGCCCCGATCACCAACGACGTAATCGCAATTACGCTATCTATTTCGTATCATTTTCCGATCAATAAACAAACCGCGTATAATTATAAGTAGATCTGTTCTTCGTTGAATTAACACTAGATTGCCCAAGGAANCTGCTTTGGGTAATATAGGTATATACTAAGTTAAAGTCTTTCTAGTGTTAACTTTGATCTGGTTATGAAACTACTTCCATATAACGGGTCGTTTCTTGTAATTATTAAATCGAGATTTATTATTTTATGCTATTTTTACTCGTAACGTAATGAAAATGAAATTCGTGCCACGTGAAGCTATCACAATTACAGTAATGAAAAAGATTTCAACAAGATCGTAGAATAAGTAGACGGTTCTAACTAGAAACCTCCACTGACGACGTATTTAATTACCTCGGTTGTTACGGTGTTTCCAGTGGCAATAAGGATGTACCATCTGGGATCTTTAATCAAAAGTCGAGCTCTCGAAAGACCTTGCAACGATTCTGGCAACTTTGATTTAACAAGCTGTCTCTCCCTCAAGTGGCCGAGCATAGTTCAAACATTTCCGGTATCAAATTATACGATTTACAATTATTA